TACAACTGTAGCCACAGCTGTCCTGGGGCAGACTGACAGAAGTGAGGCAACCAGTATGTGCCATCTGCCCCTCTAACCGCCACCAATCACAAACACACACACACACCCAGCTCATGCCCTGCTTGGCATGTGTGAGCAAAAAGTGATTATCTCTGGACGATCAACAATATTTTACCAATCCGTTATGACCTCCTTCGAAAAGTCTTGTTTGAGGCTAACCAGAAATAAAGATTGTAACTTCATGTTTCATTTACTATACTTTTTTTTTTCCAGCACAACTTTACAATTTGTCATTTCCATCTTTCCTGAGGTTTTTTTTTGGGAAAATTGAAAGTAGCATTGACAATGTGTAAATATCTGCATTACAGTGTTAAATGAGGCTGGGATGCCAAACTTTTTATCTGTTCAAAAATAAAAATAAAAATACAGATTTTGAGAATAAATCAGACCACATCATTCTATATTCATCTTATTAAAAAAGGTTGTATCCTTTACAAATGTGTAAAAAAGAGCCCCGTGAGCCACTATTTGACTCTTTTGGGCTGAGAGTGAGAATGGTCCTCTCCTTTAAAAATTGATATGAAAAAAAGTGATGGAACCAAACTGTTTTAGGACTTTATTGTATTGCATAGTTCAATGTTTATGGTTTGGACGTTCACAACAGCAGTCTTCTCTGGGCAGTTGTCAATTCATCAACAACAGATCAGAGAATCAAACAGATTTAAGCGACCTGCAGCCATTTACATATTCTACAAAGCAAATAAGAAAGTAAATGTAAGCGACCAGATTCAGATTTGTGAAAACGTTACATGTATTGCAACACGCTCCCAGTCTGTCCCAGTGAGTGTGTATCAAACATCTGTGCTCTGACACACTGCAGATGCATATGTATACAACTACACCGCATTGAAACCATTTTACTGACTGGTCCAGGAGCCAGATTTATGGTGAGAACAGAACACAGAGCAAACAAGCCACGGAGTGCAGAATGCCTCATGAATACTAATTTTGTGGAGACAGACCCGGCATGAGACGACGTTAAATGTTATAAAGCAAAAAAGAAAACAGTATTGTGTGTAGCTGTGAGATACTGGCCACACACGCAACCAGCTGCTGTTATAGCCTTAACAAACAAGTCTGGCTTTAGTTCTTTATTGGTGTCAAGTTTTCACAACCGAAGTATAACCTCCTCACCAGACTCCGTTCTATAACGTCAGATCACTAAAGGTCATTCCCAGATCAGCTGTAATCCTGGTTATTTCTATGCTGTAATCCCATGGGATGTAAACATGGATTAATTTTATACATATGTTCTGGGGTATAGCCAGAGAAAGATCTGGGTCAACTGTCATGAGGAGGTGTTGAGTTTGACAAAAAAGGGAAAAACTTCACTTTCGGCTGTTTTTTGTAGTGTATCTTTCAACGGGATCATTGAATATCTCTTGAAACTATTAATGTGTTTCCTTTTGGTTCAAAGAAGCTTGAACAAAAAGGAAGGTTGAACTAGAACATGGCAAGAGCAAAAAATACAGGGACATTTTATTTTGAGAGATGCAAAAATAACATTGCTCCTGACGATTTGTTTGTTCAGCCCCCACTTGAGGTTAAATGTTTTTATGTAGAGCCATTGAAACAACAGAAAGTCTGGTAAAAGTACAATTTTGTGAACTTACTAAAAACCATGTGTCTACTGCAGAGCTGCATGGGCAAACTGTGGGCTGAGGGCTACATTCAGCCCGATTCACGTTTCTATCTGCCCTTTGACCCTTCCCAGCTGTGAACCTCATACTATACCTCAAAACCCGTTCTGTAATCAAAATTCCATCATAAGGTAAACACATAGAAAACACCAGATACTTTGATACCATGAGTTCTTCCTTCTCTTTCTAAAAATATTTAGTTTTTTTAAATAAATTCTTGTTATATCTCAAATAGAAAATGTGTTTTGCCAAATTGAATTAAATGGTCACCCCATGAAAAAGAGTCCAGCCCTCCACAATATGATGATATTATGAGCCAATGTGGTCCCTTGATGAAAATAATCACCTCTGGTCTGTTGCAAACTTGTACAAAAGAGCGAAGAGTGAGTCAATATGTGAGCATTTGAGCTGAGGGTGAAAGTGGTCCCATGTTTTTACACTTTTCTATGCGTTGGAAAATTAGTGAGAGCGAGGAACGAGATGGATTATATGAGTAGTTTTACTTATTGTGTTAGGTACCCCAGCTTCTTGTAGTGAGTAGTGTGCCATTTGTCTCATTGCAACCATTGTTTTTTAAAGATCTAGTCATGTTATTACTTGTTTTCAATACAGCCAAATAACTCACTGCAAAAAAACAAATTTCAAATCTTTTTTTCCACAGCCTTAGTTACTGCTATCATTTTCACTGCCCCCTTTGACAGAGTTTTTAACAGTTTTGCCGATGAGTCACAAGTGAAGTCGATCGTCCGTTGAGGCCTATTATACAGCAGCTCTGTGTTTCAACTTCACGGTTCATGGTTTACTGTAGCTTTTTCTTGGCCATAATTTAAAGCAGCTGATGGGAGCAGAGCCGCAGAGGTCCTCGCTGCTCTCGCCTCATTATACGTGAACAAGCCATGCCCCTGCCCTCACCTCCTCCTGCAACCAGACCTGCTATTAATGACATCCCCTTTTTGGAGGCACTATATAGAAAAAAACGCTTTTATGTGGCGGCGATAAAATTGTTCCTTGCCTGTATGTGCTTCGCAATGCTGCTGCTCAGGGCGCCACACCATTAAGTCAAAATAAACCTAATTATTCTGTGTTTTGCTGGTGCAAGCGTGGCCCCTATACCTGACTGCAAATTTAGAATAAGGCTTTGGCCGTTAGGTTACATGTTCACATCAGAATCAGGATCAGAATAAGAATTATTTGTATTGCTTTGTTAGTAACAGGAAGTCACAAACTTGGAATGTACATATGGTGCTTTACTTATGGTGCAAACAAGTACACACAATAGCTAAAAAACAGTGCCGGTTGAATGTCTAATAGAAAAATAAATAAACTTTTTATGATAAATATGTCATTATTTTTAACTAATTATTAAAACAATTGTGCTTAAATAAATAAAATAAAAAGGCAATTTTATAAGAATAATAATAGCATTTTTGTATTGCCCAAAATCACAACAGAAGAACAGAAGATACATCCATGAATGTGTTATTTTTTAATGTGACATAACATCAGCCTGCCCAGGGACTACAGGTGGAAATTAGCTCTTGAGCTATAACCTGGTACAATGCATCTCTCCTTTCGAGGTTAATGTTTATTGTGCACTGTCCTTGTCATCTTAAATAAATAAACTAAAACTAAAAAAAAAAAAACAAAAAAAACAAAAACAATAATAGTATTTCTCTATAGGGTAGCGGGTAAACCAATTTCCATAAAAGATGATAAATGTCCATATATGTCCTGGATCATCAACTGTCCGTAGACCCTCCTTTGGAAAACTCCAAAACCAGTTATTTCTGTTTCAGTAACTGGAACAACGGATTATAATCTCGTATCAGAATGAGCAGATTTGATCTCATTGTGTCCTCATTTTGCACATTAACGTTAGTCTGATGCAAATAATGTTTTTCAAACTTTAACCAAAGGATATATCTGGTACATCTTAATCTAATAATACCCGTTTAGGCCTGAATAGTATGTAAATGAGGAGGGGGGATTGCGTAAAAGGGGCACATGGTGTAAATCGGACATGCTACAAACATAAACCATATGTGTGTGTAAATGTCCTCAGATGCGTCCACCCCCAGAGAGAAGATTCTGTTCAAAGTACTTCCACTGTTCTGCTCATGGCTCCCTCAGGCAGCCGCAGACCACTGCAGCCTCACACAGCTTGTCATTTCCGGAAAGCTCCTCCCCACAGGGATTTCATAGATAAGTATGATTTGTGCTCAGTCGACAATTTTTAGCACAGTAAGTCTAACTATGTTTGAACTACCTTAAAAAGTGCATCTTCATTAACCGGAGGCCCTCAAAGGCTTGGACATCTACAATGAGAACAAGGATTGCTCCGAGGTGAAGTTTTGGTTCTGCCAAAAGCCAGAAAGACTGTTTGTTTCTCAGCTGTCTATGACCCCGTATTGCTAATGTCATGTACTAAGATTTAATAGCCTCAATAATGGCCTTGCACTCTGTCTAGACGTGAGACGTTACACTGGGAGTGCAAGGGTGTTTGGGGTGCGCGTTAGGGGGAGACTTCTCCAGGAATGGGTGAGTAAAGTGAGCATTCTATTGAGGTCTTAGTTTTACTAATCTCCGCCATGTGACAGCACAGCCAGATTTGCTGCCATGGAATGCCACAGGCTGTTGTGCAGCGGACAAAAAGAGACAGGGGCTTTAACTGCAGGGGGGCAACACTCATGGTCCTAGAGAGCTGCACAGCTCCTACGCCAGGGGAGGAAAAGTTCTCATGGTTCACACAAACACACCCCCACTTCAAATCAGGACATGTAGAACAGTCCACAACACGCCTTCCACTGGGCCTATTTACATAATTCAATACTGCAAAGGTCATTTAATAAAATGCAATTATAAAGCCAAGAATAATTTGCTCTGGCATGGATAAGTCAACCTGTCAAACATCCTGGAGTCATTTGTGTGCAAGCATCATACAAGCAATTATCTGGAGCCACTGTTCACACACCAATACTCATTTCTCATCGAGAAAAATTCTATCTAGTTGGCTTCAAGTAATCTTTTCATCTGCACTTCATATAAGAACTGATATTCAGAGGTAATTTACAATAGTTTAGCAAGAGCTGATGACTATAAAGTCTATGACTAACATTTAAATGTATTATGCATAATTAATGATTGGCTTTTGTGTCCGATAGAAACATACCCAAAGATTCCTTGTCAGACACCATTGTCTAAATGTTGTGCTCAAAAATCAAAGTTGCCCTCTCTGGTTAACTCTTTGATAGCATTGGGGACTCATGTGTTTGGAGTGACCTGTGTCACACATTCAAAGACTTAGTCCCAATTCCCTGGATGGAGCTGCTCTTCACAAAACCAGCCAAATCCCTTGGAGCCCCAGATCGCAGTCTGGGCAGACGTGAGAATCCGGCTCTGTCGGGGTGAGGCCATGCTCCTCCCCCTGTCCCCCTCCTTCACCCCTCCCTCCACAGCTTTAATTAACGAAATAATCAGCATTTGCATCACAAAGGCTTGCGGGGCTCTCACTATTAGTGGCCCGTTTGCCACCAGAAGTCTAATGAAAATGTAACATCATCTAAGCCCTCCTTCACAGATTCTCAGATTAGCTGTAGCAGGCCTGAGAGAAAGCTGGGACCTGGGGATGGTTGGTTTATTTCTTTTGTATGATAAGCACTGACCGGCTCAATCCAGCCTCACCAAATCCTGTCGAGTGGGGCCAAGTGGCAGAGCCAGGACTCTGAGGGGACCAGTGCGCAGCAGTGAAGATGACAGAAGAGCACAGGAGAGATAGAAGTGAACCAGCACAGCCATGGCAGCTCCTGGCAAACCCCACCTCTGTATCCAGCCTCCGCCCAATCGCCTTCCCCCTCAGCTGTCCCGCGCCACAATAGGCTGAGCATCTTTTGTAGCATTAACGGTTTGTAGGAGCTGCAAAACAATGTATGAGAAGTGAGGAACGCGGGGTTCCCACACACATGTCCACACACCCCCACTGCAACCAGCTGATTACCCCCCACCACCACCAGCAGCACCCCCCTTCCACAAATGCATGTACAAACACTCCATGCTACAAAGCAAAGTCTCGCGTCCACATAGATACACATTGCTAGTTAGTCCGACATATTTGCTCATGTTTAATGCATGAATTAGAATTTATGACTCGGCTGCAGTTGTTTATATAGCGGCATGCTAGCGTGCACACATGAGCGGGCACATGCACATGCCGTTTAATTGCCTGCTGAGGCCAATAGAAAGCCAGGGAAATCCTTTTGTTGCATGAAAGGCGAGGGTTTGTCTGGGATCTTGATTAATTTGTACTGTCATATGTGGGAGGGGGTTTTCACTCCAGCACTGGGTGGGAATGTCACTTACTCGATGCTGGATTCCTTCATGTCAAACCATGGACAGTGCAAGAGCCCACAACTATCTGAACATTCTGAACCAATTATTTAATAATCAGTTCTGCAGTTTTGATACCAGATTATTACAAAAAAGAAAAACAGCATCTAATATATGCTGCATAATAAGCTGCATCTCACTCAAGTTCTGTGTGTCGCCTTCTGACTCGGACTATGCACAATTCAGCCACAGATTGACTTTGTCATTCTTGTGCCTGTATATCAAGCGCCTCACTGTCTGGCACTTCCATATATTTTGTATTTACTTGCCCCTTATGAACTTGAGACATCAAGTAATCAGACCAGATCGTCAGATGTCAACCATCATGCCTTTCCATGTGTAAAACTGAAGGTAGCAGTATGCTCCTTGATTATGGAATGCTCTGCTTAAGGACGCTTTGATACTGAGCTCAGATGAGAGACATCCAACGTGTGCATGTCTCTGAGAAGGCTTGGAGATTCTCTGAGGTCTTCTTCCGGTGGGATGTGCCCGGAACACATCCCCAGGGAGGCAGTCGGGAAGCATCCGAAACAGATTCCTGAGCCACCTCAACTTGCTCCTCGTGATGTGGAGAAGCAGCGGCTCTATTCCGAGCTCTAGAAAAGTGCCTACAGCCATTCTGTGGACAAAACTCATTTTGACTGCTTTTATCATCAATTACATCCTTTCAGTCGTCATTACCCAACTTTAGTTTTTCCAACTTATATAATAAAACAAAGTGCAGGAACAGACTTGGCCTTTCTCTGAAGCTTCTTCCATCGGTCTGTGTGTGGCTCTTTGTGGATTCTCACTCTCCACTGCTCTCACACTGTAAGCTCCAACCACAAGCCAGGTCCATATTGCTCTTCAGCCACCTGTGCCAGGCACCATGCTGCTCACAGGGTCCAGCGTGGCCTGCTCCTCCTCTACTCCTCCTCTACTCCTCTCCTCTCCTCTCGCCCCGGGACGGCTACTGTCGCCAAGGCAACTCACACACAGTGTGTTGCACAGTCCATTTGTCACCAATTGTCAGTGTTTAGCAGGCTATGATGTGTGGCAGCATGAGTGAGGCAGAGGGGGGACAGAGTTTGGGTTAAGGGGAGGGGGTGGCCGGTGACATAAGATGAGCTCCCTTCATTGGGACATCTTTAAAATTAAGTTAAGTTTTTTGCCACTTTTACCCGGACCACCATCAAATAAAACACATTTCAGAAATCAGGATTTTAGAGAGTAAAAGAAAAGTAATTTTTTGATGTCCAGGTAGAGCTTGTGTTTAAACACAGAGGATATGGTCATCAACACGACATTCCATATCGCTCTAACCTGGCCCTATTATCAGCTGGGGACTAAAGGATTGCACAGGGGATGGTATGTGTTAGCACAGAGAGTCAGCTTCATGTCCTTGTTTGTTTTCCTTAATAACCAGAGATTTTGGAGAATTTCAGGGGCTGGTTGTCATTAGCTGGGTGCGGCTAAACCCCGGTGAGGCTTGGACCAAGTGAAGCTTACTCACTTCCAGTTCTGAGTCAACAGAGACATAGGCCACTTTTCTGTCATTACTGGCCTATCACAGACCCTAAACTGAGCATGAGGAGTTCAAAAACAGCCGAGACCAAGGCTGCTGCATCTGATCCCCTGTGGGGGACATTCCATGAATATTTCAATGTTATTTCATAATCATCTTTGCAAAGACCCAATCAGCTGATAAATATTGGGTAAAAAATAATCGTCAAGGGTTGCCAATGATCTTCAGAAGTTAAAGCCTAAACATTCTCAATACTCGCTAATTTAAGAATATAAACACTGAACTAACTGGACTTGAGTCACGCCGCTGGTTCATTATGTGGTTGTCCATGGTCAACTATAAAGATGTTCCTGGAATGTCACCAAACAATATTTAGGATAATAAAAATGTTACATAAAACATACATAAATTGTAACTATTTCCGAGCAAATACATCAAAAGCAACACTTTTCTGTAGCATCGGTTTGTTTAGAAGACGATTATTCAGAGCAGAAGTCCATCAGCCAGAATTTAGCTTGGCACCAATTGTCAAAGAGACTTCAGACTCGCAACTCTGAAATGTTTGACACCCTTTTAGAGCTTGAGTTTGACAAAGACGCTCACATTCTGCAGCGATACAAACTGCATGGTAGTTTCTTCAAGTCAGGTCGTCAAACGGATGAAATAAATGTTGCTATACATTCCACACCAATGGGGCTTTTCAGGGACTGCCAGGCTAAATGTGTTGACTTGGCTTTGCCTCCAACAATTATGAAAATATGATGGATATAAACTTTTAGAGTAAGTGGTGCTATTAAGAGAGTGTGTGTATAGCTTCTCTATCAGGAGTGCTAAAGTGCGTTCGGTTGGCTCTCGGCTTTAGCGATTCTTTTGCACCGGTGTCATGATTATCCAATGTTTATTAGCTGTGGAAGAAAGTCTTGGGACATGTTTGAGTCCATGTGGAACCAGCTCTGACCGGCTCCAGCACCCCCATCCTCTCCTCTGCACAGCAACTCCGGATGACATTCACAACTGTCAACACGGTTCATTGCTGCCGAGCCGTTCTGTCCAAAAACAAGAAAATATATACTTGAAAAACCAACATGATACTTACATAAACAGGCAATCGGAGTTTAGTCAAAAGAAATTAAACAGCGCCTGTTATAATCTTGCGCAATCAAAGTTATAAAAAAGTAAGGATTTTAAAAAATGTTAAGTAAAGATACTGTTGGGTACGCATTTTGCAACTAGTGGGAGAAACTTGCAGCAAACTGTTACTGTAATTAACTTTAATATATATAAAGTCTCCGGTAGGTTTTGTCCACGTTCTCCCACAATTAATAAATCAGTCAAATCAACAGTGGCTCAGTTGGTAGAACATAGGCCTTATGTCGGCTGTCGTTGTGTCCTTGGGCAAGACACTTAACCCACTTTTCCTACAAGGAGCGCGGAAGTGATGTTCGCTGCATGCCTTGATGTATATGTGTATATCATGTGTAAGTGTATGCATCAAACTGAAATTTCCCCATTGTGGGACGAATAAAGGACCCTCTTCTCCTAGAAATCCATCACATTGTATTCATAGAGCCCTTTACAACACTCAAGGCGACCAAATTGCTTTACAATAAAATCACATATACCATAACAGACAAACGGTGGTGATCGCTTTACATCCTAGGTGGCAGTACTAAAATAGAAGTTGGAAAAGAGTAAATGCACCACTACAAATCATTTAAGCATCTTCAAAACCAAATTATAACATAGTCACTTTGCAAAGAGGACGCTACAAGCCAATATCAGAAATGTCAAAAATGTTATTCTATGAATCTAAGACCAATAAAAGAATGGATAAGTAATCTCAAAGAATGAAAATCAAACAGAGCTGCTCATCCTACCACCACATTCCATCTACACACCACATTTCAGCTCTGTCTGTCCAATAGTGTTTGCGCAATCCTGCCCACAGAGAAACACACACTCGATTACAATATTGGGGTTGGAGTTGTAATAAATACATATTTGGAGTAACTTTCTTAGTTTCAATATCATAATCATAGCAGAATAAAGTTTCCCTGAAGAATGTGACGCAGTAGTTTGTTCCAGATCAGAGCAAACAAGTTTGGTCTTTCATGGTCGCTGAGTCTGGACTAACTCAGTGGCTCTTGTCCAAAGCACGCAATTAGGCCTTGTTCTGCAATTAAGCCTCCATCTTACGCCTCGATAGCCACCGGTCTTCACGCTCTCCGCCAAAGCTTCAGTCTCCCATCTCTCTGTTGACTGATTACAAAACCATATCTTCTAATTGTAATGACAGCCATTGTTTCTGCCAATGCTGTGTTATTGATTAGATCCGTGTGCAACTTGTGAATGACAGGAGCGAGATGAGCAAGTGAGCTAATCCTGTCAGTAACATTTTAACTCCTGCAGGGAATCTCCAGACTTTTCTCCCCACGTGTATAGGAACAATGTGTCCCATCTGGAAGCAAGCCTTTCCTGAGGTCTGGATAAACTGATGGATGAGAGGGGGCCGTGAGGATGTCCAGCTGAGTCTGCCGACAGAGACCCAATCAATCACCCCGGTGCTGGAGCAGTGACGGCAGCCCACCCTGAGGAGAGCCACAGGTCAAGGATTCTGTCAGGGTCCTCCAAAAGTCCTGACTGACCAAAGACCAGCTCTTTCTGCCACTTTAAGTGCAGCTCTGTTCGCGGAGGAGAGCTCGAGCTTAATCAACTTGTGCCTGACCATTAAGATCATCTGACAGTCTCCGAGAAAGAACTCTTCAGATGTCATAAGTCTGTGATTGATTGTAGATTGAAACACAGATGAAACTCGGAACATTTAAATATTGTTCAGAATTTCCTTTTTTCTTTTTTAACCTAAAATGTGAAACCATTACATGTAGAACTATTGCATGCAATGTGACATTTTACATTGATTTTAGCCTGTGCATTTTACAAGCTGTGAGCCATTTTCATCAACAATATAATAAAATTAAGGCTTGATTCTACTCTACTCAGAGCTTCACCTGTATGAAGTATTGCTTGAGGTAATCTTATGAGTAGTAAGTAAGTAATCTTTCTTTACATAGTGCCTTTCACAGACCAGAGTCAGAAAGTGCTTTATGACTGTTTTGGGCATTAGTCCTCTCACTCCACACGTGGGAGTGGGGTCACCATACAGACCTACTGAACATGTTTTTAGAGCTATAGGGAAAACGGAGCACCCAGTGAAATCCTATGCAGACACAGAGAGAACATGCAAACTCCACACAAAAAGGTCTGGAGGTGGTGTCGAACCCAGTGAAGCACAAGCTCTAACCATTGTGCCACTGTCCCCTAGAGGTATTTCTGAATCAATGTGGCTTTGGATTCTAGAAACTTAACATCAAATTTGGTAACTTCAATAATTTACGCCAAATGCTGCTGAATAGGGCTGGGTAACTTTCGACACCTGCCGATATGATCCCAATATAGGAGACCCTAAGTTTGATACGAAAACCAGAATTCTGACAATAAACATGTGTCCCATCGCTACTAGAACTTGATTAATTAAAACAGATATGCTTGAATATCGCATGTTTTTGTCCATAAATGTGAGATAAATCCAGAGTTTACACCCGAGAGTCAAGTCTGTCGCTTGGGGTTTCTCGATGTGATGTCTCGCCCGCTGTCATGGTATTTTGGAAGTGACAGACACGTATCCGGTAATTCCAGTACGTACTGAACCATCATCCCGTGAGATTAACGGGTCAAGAAAATCCCGGAACTCCCTTGAGGCGTCATTCACACAAACCGCCACATGGGAAAGTTCCAGCGAAATACACAGGACTTGCTTTTATGATAGGGCTCAAGTCAGAACGCCTGAAATCTCAACATGGATCCCCACTTCCAGAATTGTGTAGTTTTAGTAGAGACGGACTACAGAATAATGAGATTGACAAATTATTGAACCCAGACCAAACCTGGTAATAAGCACTTGTGTGATTGCTTGCATAGTTGGTGAAAATATAGTATAGTTTCTTACATAAAGGCAAGCCGATGAAACAATTGTGCTATCCATCATTTCACTAATGAGAGAGCTGACAGCAGGGGAGAAAATCCGTGGACAGGAGAGACAAAGGATGACCGATTTGCAGATGACAAATTCATGGAAATCCATTATCTGGTTCATCAGTAAATATTATTGAAAAGAAATCCCAATTTAGTGATTTGCTATTTGCAGACACTGTATTTCAGACAGTATCTAGAATGTTGCCATATATTTAGTCATGGTTATGTTACAGATATTGTATTGGAGAAACATGTGCAGATAATCTAAAATAAATGCACATTAGATGGATGTACTACTCTATGGAAAAGTTACATATAGTTAAACTTGACTGTGGATCAGCAACAAAGCTCTAAATGAGAGCAAGTCAGCTCATAATACTTACATACAATAGATGATGAGATATCTTGTATGTAAATCCAACCACGGATGTTACTGAACACTTTTAGAATATCAGTGGCCGGCGTAAATATGGAATGCACTTGAATATGAATTAAAATGCTCTGCAAAAATCAAAGCAACAACAATGAAATCATACGAAATAAATAATTCAAACTACAGAGAAAATAAAACACAAATCTAACCAGCTGAAGTCTATCTTTGAAGATGTTTTGTGAAGAAAGGGGCAGGCAACTTAAGATTTTGTTTTCTTTTTGCTCCTTTTCACTTGTGTGGCGGGGGGTAAAAAAAACATATTCAAACATAATTACAACATGTCACGTATTGTCATGTGTGAAAATGAGATGCTTTGACAACTGTTTTATTGCGTCAGGATACCGCTAAACTATGGACAGTTGCAGAGAAGCGGTGGAGGCCCAATGCGCCGGGTCAAAGGCCTGGGGTGATCATGTGGTCTGGGTCATGGTGAGCAGGGGGCAGCGGAGGAGAGCAGCCGTAACTTGGTGTCAAACAGACCCTAGCGGCATAGCTCAGGCCGCGCTGTGATGTTTGTTGACATGTCTTAGAGAGAATTTGGAAGTTTTCACAGCCATCATAAATCAGAAGGAGGCTTGATTTTTCCCATGGTAAGGACTCGAGTGCTGCAGGGTTTCATTACTATTGGGTTCTAGCTCCAGGGGAGATACAGTGCTAACAGCTTGAGGCAGTTGTCTCTCTTGACTATTTTATTGGGTAAATCTTAGAACAGAAGATTGAGATTTGAGAATATCCATAACTTGATTGCATTATTCAAACACAATAATATAAAAATAAGTATTGACAAAACAATAAGCCATCATGGTTTTTTTTTCTCGTTGGATTTTTAAATGTAAATAAAATGCCTTGGGCCTATTCTTCCCATTCAAAGTTATGAACTTATGAAACTGGTCCCTCATGCAGGAAAACTGAAATAGTGCTTTCAGCTTCACCTGCTCATGCTCCAAGTAGCGCAAATCGTGCAGTGATCGCACACGGCTAGAACAAACGCGCCGGCACAAAAATGTTTCCACAGCGGCAAAACAAACTTGATTTTAAAAATGCACCCACCTCATGTGAAAATTGGTGTTGATAATTGTCCTCTGAACTCAACATTAAAGCTATTTTTGACGCATGGATTGAGATAATATCATCTGGAATACAAGCATGAACCACACCTATTCAAGAAAACGAGCAAAATTATTTACTGCATGTAAAAAGTCATCCTAACTTATAACGAAAAGCAAGGGTCAAGTGTTGTGATGATCCAAGACAACATTCCACAACATTTTTGTACATGTATCAACACTTATGGACCAATACCAATGTGTTCTGAACTGTTTGATTCTCTGTTGGCAAATTCAACGGTTGTGTAAAGTCCTCCAAGATAACTACTGTTGTAATTTATGGCTATACAAGAATAAATAAATGGAATTGAATTGAATTGAATGCTGAAACATTTTGGTAATAAAATGGTGAGCAGTACTTGGATAAGAGTGCGATGGTTAAACAGCAGCGTTCTGCATGTGGCAGCGTTCATCAGCCTCACGCTCCACACCTGTTCCTCCAGCTGCTGCTGCAAAGCACTCTGGGAGCTGCTCCTAATTCCATGTATTTTGTTCTGGTTCGGATGGCAGGAGAAGAACCGCAGAGTTGTACTGCAGTGTATGTGGTGTGTTTTTATGACATTATCACAAGTTCGAGCTTCCACCTATAAACACAAAACCAAAAAGCAAAAACTTCTGTCTTGGATGTACTTGGGAAACACTGGCTTCCCATGGAGACAATTACAGAGTATGAAGCAGAACCAACCCACCATTGCTGGGCACCACTCATTCTGGAAAGAAAAAAAATTAAGAAAACCCGATAAGAGACATTCAGACCACACAGTGTCAGGTATTTAAATGAACTAACATAAGCTTGAACTTTACTTTCACTTGTTTATTAGGGTTGGAGTTATTTGCATATGAGACTGAACTTTTACGTCCCCTCCTATTCACAGAAAAAGCATGTCAAAAGACCTGTAGCTGTCTTTATATGTCTTTAAAACATATTACATTATGAATTTGCATAGTTCTGTTTTTTTTGTCTCAGCTGATATCTGAGAGTGAGAGAGAGAATTTCATTTCCTGCAGCCAACCCTCCGTATTGTTTGATCTTTGGTCCAATAATTAACTTGAAATCAATTCAAAACACTATGTATCACAAAACATACAGTAGAAGAGTTTTACAGGTGAAAAAAACGTTAAATGTAATATTCTTTTCTAATGTAAATGTATATTACTTCAGTGGAGTTAACTGAACATTTACAGAGAAAGTCTTTTAATACAGTATAACCGTATAGCATTCATCCAGACACACAACTGCACGCACCTTTAATGCTTTTTAGACAATCAGCTCTGAATCAGAATCAAATACATGTTGCACTGATCTCCTATCTAATCCTATCACTTTAAAGAGCCTTGCAAATTGGCTAAAGTCATGAACCAAAGCTCATTACAAAACAGACTTTTGTAAAATTGTTGTCACTCAACATGTGAAATGCTGTCATGCAGATCTGTCATGAAGTAACAAATGTATCAGTTTTTCTCCCGGCGAGAACCACCCAGTGGCCCTCACCTTGGTCCCAAAAGGCGGAGTGCAGCTCATGAGGCCTCAGACACACTTAATAGGATTATGGTAATATCATTTTGTGCCTCTGACCTCGGGCCGCTGCCAGGTTCCTTGGAGATCCTTGGACAAAGGCGGGAGCTCACCCAGGCTTCTGCAGGCTGGCTCTGCTCCTTGGCACAAGCCGCTGTCCTCATGGGCCCGCAGCAAGATGGATGACGAGGGGGCAAAGTCTCACTTCCTAAAGACCACTCCAACAGAGCACAGTGAAGAGTATGGGTGGAAAAAATCAGTTTGATGCTGATGACTTTATGCAAGTTTGCTTTCAGTTTTAGTGCACAAGTCCACAAGATCAGGATGTAGACAAACTATCCAGAAACTGAAACAGCGCAGACTGTAGTTCTTGAGCTGAGGTAATGGTTCCCATAGAGATAGCCCTGTGCTCAGCCTGTCCAGCTTTGTGATTTAGCAGCGTTTTCTCTATTCTATCTGTCTTATTGGTTTAGTGACTTTTTGTTGACAAGGCAATTTGAAAGAACTTAGTGCATGGGGTCAGTCTGTGTTCATGGGTGTATAAAAGCAACAAACGTGTTTTGTTAAGTAATATGTTTTTAACTGTAATGCAAATGCTTTGGATTGGAACGTTATTGAACATATACATTCTCAGAGCAACATGTGCATTTATGCCTGTATATTCTAATGTTTTGTTTTATTGTTGCCCAGTCTAAGCAGTAAAAACCTTCCATCCTTTTGCCCTCTAAAGACCACCCATAGGCACTGACGGAGGAAGACGTCTCTCTGGAATAATAATGCGCTCTTCCTGGGAAAATTGCCCATGAAAATGGCCTATCTGGGAAAAAAGAAAATTTTGGTCTTGTTTTCAGGCTTTGACGGAAACATCCATCAGAGAGCTGCGAGCGTTCAGAGAAATTGAGGCTCGGGAATGCTTTGGGCTTTTGCAAAACTGCACAGTGGGACACCATAGAATATGTTTTTAAACACAGAAAATATGGCAAGCAAGTGATGGTAAAAAAAAATATTTGTGTGTATCTTATCTCTCATCTTACCTTACACCTTTATATCTTTGAATCTACACTTTCCATCACTACAGAAAACATTAAAGCAGGGTTTCCCAAACAGTGGTACATGTCCACAAGCTCCTTCAGATGGTCAATGGATTCCCTCATCATTGACAGTTACTACCTGATGTAGTCCTAGTTTAGATCTAGTTTGGTTATTCTTTGAAGGTCAAATATATTGTTAGGTGCTACTTTATGATAAGTTTATGATAAGAGCCACTGAATAAATACATTGTTTTAATAAATATATAAAAAGGTTACAAAGGGTTGGAAAGTTTAGGACAGTTCATGGATTTCTCTATATATTTGCTTTCTGCAGATATTGATACTAAACCATTATCTCCCAGGGACACATCTCCTGTTTAACTTGTCAGCACTCTCCTAATAGTGAAACATTATGATCGGCATTACCCACATTCCTGAATGTTCTCCGCAGACCCCCTTCCTCCTCCCACTACCCCAAGGCTTCGTCCTCCGCTCTTCTCCCGGTGCATGTTCCTCAGGGGGTCAGCACGTCTGGAGCAAGAAGAAACAGCATCAAGCACACAAACAGAAGTATCTTTATCAGTAAAACTTTCAAAACACTTTAAAGTCAAGACTTAAATGTCATCAATGGGGGTCATTGATTACAGTTACTTTTATGACTGAGTTATAAAAACACAGACCTGACTGAGGATGTGTCAAAATGATTATGTCACGGACTGTAATAACTTTGCCTTTTTGTTCACTTTTTTTTTTTAATGACATAATAAAGATGGATTAAAATTAAACATGGCATGTTGTATATACTGTATGTCATTTTTCGGTGAATATTTTTGCTTTTGTAAAGTTTTCTGGACTTGGTGCCGCTGTCGAGCTTTCAGTTTGAGTAATTAAAGAGCACCCTTCAGATTTCAACACAAAGCTGTAGTACCTGATTGTGTTTACACTGTCCCTGATTTATTGGGTCTCTTCTATTGCAGTATTACTTGTGCTGTAATGAATAAACAATATTCAATGTCTGTTTGTTTCTTTAGGTCATTCTGTATATATTGGGGAGGGTGCAGCCATAAGTCTTTTCAAAAGCTTGTGGTTAAAACCTTATGAGCTCACGGTCTGAGGCCTGCAGCAGAAACCCCTGTGCTCCGTCTGACTGGCACGTCCATAATAACATCCTGCTAATCTATCAGGATCCAACAATAGGAAGATACTGATTAGAATAGTCAAACTGTCAGTCAAACCTGTCAGCTCATAAAACTATTCTACTACTACTTCTAATGCTCAGAACAAATACATCAGGAAAAAAGATGATTTTTTTGTTTTTCAATTTATTGCAAACAATATAATACAAAAGATAAGCCTTTAAGACAATGTCATTTTACCTAGCACAGCTGTATTATCAAGTTGATAAGGAGAACTAATGATACAGGATGGTATATAAAAGGAACGAAGATCATTCAGTTGATTCCAGCATTTTCCATTATAAAGATTTGTTAGAAAACAAAACAAAAAGATAACTTCCAGTTATCTTTACTAAAATTCAATGTGATACATATTCTGCACACAGCTAGGGCGTAAATAAAAGAGCATTTACAAATGATAAATTAAACAATTCTGTATCACAGCAGACTTGGTTAGCTGCTGGAAAAATTAAACACTAATTGCAAATAGTTATTTCAACATAAAATTAATGCTAATGAATAAATTAGGAGGGGAAGTCAGAATAAAAGAGTTATGAAAAGCAGAGCAGGAGCTTGGAGCTGTCGGAGCAACAGGTCACAGGTCACTTCCTGTAACCTTTGTTTAGACACAGACACGGCAGATAGCCCCAGAGGCAACTACGGCATCAAGGCAGCGACCAGAAAGAGCAGACACAAGAAGAACTCAACCACAGAGAGCATCCACACTGAAGGACTCAACCACAGAGAGCATCCACACTGAAGGACTCAACCACAGAGAGCATCCACACTGAGGAGCAGACACTTAAGGCCTCAGGAGAGGACATGGCACGCTGAGCCCAAGCAAGAGCAAGGTGAATCATGACACAGTCACATTAAGATACCTACTGCTCAACATTGGCTTTTTAAGGAATGAAATCTACGTATTTACACGAAAGGAGGAATGTCCATCAAGACAGCAGTGTCAGTAAACAGATTCTTTACACATTATACGTTCTATATAAAACCCACAAGAAGAAAGGCCACTTTTACCCAGCAGTCTGCCCCAGTGAAGTCCAGACAACATGAGGGCTGTTCATGGCAGTGAAGGCAGGAGCAAATACATACACAGTACATACTAACATATTTATAACCTGTATCTCCTCACAGAGGATTTTTTAACAACAAACTGTATCTAAAAAAATAGACTTACAATTTCAAACAATATATAAAAGGCACTGTCGGGAGCCAATCCAAAGATATAATTTCAGTATATAAAAAGTCTTTGTTTTTCTACTGGCATTGTGTGCAATAGAGTCAGTGTCTCAGGGCCTGGAGAGCTGTGTGTAGATGGGCTGCTCCCAGTGCTGTGGACTGTGGTTCTGTGGGACAGAGGGCACCCCAGCACTGTCGGCGATGGGGGTGTACATGGGCCTCTGACTGGGGCTCATGTAGCTGAACGTAGAGTAGAGAGCAGAGCCCTGGCCAGCGGCATGGCTGTAGTAGGAGTTAGTGCCCTGCTCTGAATAATCGTACTGTGCTCTAGTGATGGAGGGGTAGGAGCTACTGTAGTGCTGCAGGTTGAAGGAGCCGTAGGTCACATGCTGAGGAGAGCCCTGCTGGTCGCTGTAGTGGCTGGGACTGAGCTGCTCTGTCTTGATCTGGGTGGTCCTCTGTTGCTGCTCTCCACTTAAGTTGGTCAGTGTGTGCTGCTGCTGTTTGTTCATCCAGGCACTGTTCTGGGCCACAGCGGCACTGCTCATGCCATAGCTGCCGGTGTACGCGGCCTGAGCAGCGCCTGCGTGGCTGTGTGGTGGAAGGTACTGGTCAAACTCATCCACGTCAAAACTTCCCATGTTTGAGATGACTTCACTGCTCAGCTCTCCAATGTCCACAGCACCAAAGTCAATGTTGAGCTGGCGACTAGTGCCCTCCTGTGCAGGTCGGCCCTCACGCTTCAGGTCAGCTTTGTTCGATGGAAGATCAGTTTTAGGGGTTGTGGGTGGAGTAGGTGGACCCTGGGACTGACCTACGAAAAGACAGAGGTACATTAGCATTTCAATCGAATATAGACGATCATTTGCATGTACTGATTGCTTATTTAATGTGTTAATATCATTTTAAGGAAATCAAAATATTGCAATTGTAAACTCACCAGAGTGTTCACCAGGGGAATGCACGTCTCCCATGCTGGACGCAGGGGAATCCGCCTGCTGCAGCGCTTTGAAAATAGCGTTGGGTGAGATGTGTGTCTGCTCCCCATCTTCAGCATCACTCTGACCGTTCTTCACGGACTTTCTCCGCCTCGGCTGATACTTGTAATCAGGGTGGTCCTTCTTATGCTGCACCCTCAATCGCTCTGCTTCTTCTACAAACGGCCGCTTCTCAGACTCGTTAAGCAATCTGTTAGGAAAAAAAATTGTATTAGTAAAATGTGACTAACTAACTCTCGGTGTGACACTCTTTTGTGTGTGTGACATTTCATTTTTTAAAGACTCCATTGACAAAAACAACATTCGAAATATAATCAAGAAATTAAATGGACCCGTAACTGTAGTATTTAAAGCAAACGGATCATATTGTAACTTAAATGATAAATATAATAGAAGCCTTTCTTACCTCCAGAGTTTGCCCAGGGTCTTGCTGAGCTCTGCGTTGTGGAGATGCGGGTACTGGTCCGCCAGTTTCCTGCGCGCCGCCTGCGCCCACACCATGAAGGCGTTCATGGGTCTCTTGACGTGCGGCTTGTTTTTGCTGGATCCGTTGACGCGCACAGGCATTGGCACCAGGGTCCAGTCGTATCCTTTGAGCACCTGAGACACTGCGTCCCGGATGCACACCGGGAACTTCTCCTCGTCCGTCTCCTTCTTGTAGTCGAGCGCGGACATGAGGAGGTGGTTGTCCACGGGGCGCGTGTTCTCGGTGTCAGAGCCGGAGTGGGACGGACACGGGGATCCTGCAGAGTCCTCAGACATACACGGGCTGGGCGCATCGGAGTGACACTTCTCCTGTTCCTCTGTCATCTTCAGGTAAGGGTCGAGGAGATTCATACGAGCTGATATCCACGTTAAAGAGAAGAAAAGCTTCTTCTTACTCCAGGGGCCAGACGCAGCTCCACAGGTTAGGCTCCTTCGCGCGCAGGTTTGTGATGCACAAGTTTGCGGTTTGCTATTGACAGTTTCCACAGACAGGAGAGGCGGTGACTTCACTGAGGGCTGGAACACGCTCCGTGCTCTGAGAGCTTTGCAGAGAATCTAAAGAAGTGCTGCACAAGCCCCGATTTATGTGGCACGGAGCGAGAGGGGGGCGATCCGCGGAGGCGGGCCGTAATCTGACTCTGCTCCCAGCAGTGCGCCCCCAGTCAACAAGTGAGGAGACAGTTATTGCTCTTTTGCTCCAGGCAACTTAACGCAGGCTACACATTTTAGTCACGTACACTTATATCTCTCACATGGTTACAACAGTCGGAAACATAAGTGCACATCCTCGCGTTGAACAAAATAACAACTGAAACCAGCAGATGAAGCTTTTCATTCTGACAATAAAATACTACTACTGAGCTTTAGTCTGTACCTTATCGACAGGACTTGCAGAACAGTATGTCCTTTGATGAAACTTTTGAGAGCGGGAGCTCAGACCAGTGTTTACCGTGACCAATAGGGGGCGACAAAACTCTAGAAACTTCAGCTCATTCACACCTATGATTTTGTGTAAATAAAAAAAACGGAGCATTGGAATAGTTGGGAAAAACACACATAGCGTGTTGGCAACGTTTATTTTCATGATACTGAATTGATCTATTTGTTGAGTATATATTTGTGTTTTTATATATATCATACATAGTATTTATTTGTGTTTTTGTATATACACACACACACTTTTACACACATACACCATGATGATACCATTTAGCTATGTTCTTAGCAGCGCAGCATGTTGTATTATGTGATATAAGTTACTCGTGTGACCTCTTGGCCTTGACATTTTCATTAAACACTCTTCTTAAACCTACGGTGTGCATGTTGTTATAGAGTTTTGTCGGTGGGCCTTGTCAGCTCTCCTGCATGGACCCACTTGATGTAGTACAGTTCAGACATGGTGTTCTTCCAAAAGGTGACTGTGGCGAGAAACACAAGATGTAAGCACTGTTTTTGTTTCATCACGACTTGATAGGTGCAATTATGGCCATTTCTGTAACACTTCAAAGTAACTCGAGACCTGGGTAGTAAACCTTGAGCCTTTCCATCATTAAAATACAACTAATCGTGCAGTCTTGTCTCTTAGCATATTGCCTAAAGCATGTTTGCAGAAGAAGTGCTACTGATAGTATGGGTCTTTTGCATTTGTTCATTGCACAATTTCAGAAAATATAGGTCAATAGGTCTTTCTAGATTTCTCTCCATTTACCTAGGCCAAGACTTTAGACCCAATAATAGAGTTTGCTTTTAAAAGTAAGTGACTGAAAAGAACCATCACAACACACATCCACTGCCATCCATTGAGATTTGAAGTGGGATTGGGGAGTGGATTCAGTAGAAGAGGAAACCATGATGCTAATACAGAGGCATCAAAGGTGCGATGTGGCCTGTACGCGCCCCCCCACGACCCTGTTACTGTCCCGGGACCACAGCTTCCAAAAGGTGGGCCCAGCACACTCCTGCTGCAGCCTGCTCAGCCCTGCTCGATCTTGGGAAACTTCTCAGCTTGACTTCGAGCCACGGCGTTAAAATTTAGAAGCAAACACTGGGGGTAAACTGCCAAATCATGTCTTCTACCAAGCAGATTCCATGGCTAATGTTTGAAAAGTTTCCCTTTGGAGATGTTTACATTTACCACAAAAATAGATATCAATAAAGACTGTAAGTATATTAATCGGTGTAAAGCTACAGTTTATAACGTGTATAATAATAAATCATAAGGTCTAACAGTCTCATCCAGGATTTTGAAGGAATACCAACCATCACCAATCACATTCAGCATATAGTACACATTTGGCCAGGGTGAAGTGCCTTGCCTAAGGACACAACTCCTTCATTCAACTACTTTCAATGTATTCTTGTTCAGCCATAAATTCCAACAGTAGTTATGTTGGAGGACTGCACAACCGTGGAATTTGCCAACACAGATCAGAGAATCAAACAGTTCAAACACAAGAAATAAAACAGAAAACACATTGGTATTGGTCCTTAGCCAACATTATTATACTCAAGTGCAATAGAATCTGTAGAACAGCTACTGTCTCCAACCTTGCTGTTTTTTTTTATGAAATGTGCTCTATAAAAAAAAGTGGATTGGATGTAATTTCTACAGTAATGTGTTGGGGAGCTACTTGTAAAGGTCTGGGGTGCTACTATAAGCCCTAAGCTATAAATTGGTATTTTTGTTGTATTTTTTTAACCAGGATAGTTCCACTGAGAAGTCCAAATATCCAATTCAGGGCTATCCCGGCCCGAGCAATAATGGCAAGAGATAATATGGGCCAATATGTTATACACAATTTATTTTGTAAAGATCAGACAAGACCACACATTGACAACAGTATGATACAGCATTTGGATTCAAACTGAACTAAATCAGGAATAACATTTACATTTTGCAAACAACATGGAAATGGAATTACTAAGACAACTCATTCCACGTATTTGTCTGCAGTAACTTTTTTGGGATATTGCTTCAGTTCCTTCTTGATCAAATGTATAATCTTTCATGGTATTAAAAAGTGAGGTAGTCGCACACGTACAGAGGGAAACTGATGGAGATAAATGACATAGTGCAGATATTTGCGCCACATAACTGACATTACACCTGTCTGAGATTTTCCACAACTAGTGCCAACTGCCCCAGACATGCCAGCGATGACTGTACCATGGAGATCTCACACAAAAATTCTTCCGGCTTTTTTCTGCTTGAAGCTTTTGTAATTTTGTGCACCGGCTTCTGCGTTGTTTGCCAAACCAGATCAAGGCAGTCCAACCACAGGCGACTCTTGACACTTCTTGGTGTTTTGTAACGTTTGGAGATGGCTTATGAAGCCCTGTCAATGGGATGAGCTTTTACTCTCTCAATCTTTCACACTTTCTACAAATCACAGATTATAACAGCCCCCTGCTTTGACCACTTCCGTCACTTTATAATCTCATACAGCTAGACACTTATCAATAATCTGCACTGTTAAATGTCTACTGTCTGTATTTATATATTAAAATTGTATTCATATTTGTTATGCATGCCCTTATATCTATTATTTACTTTTTTATAACCTGTTTGCACCACATACCAAATTCCTAGTTTGTGACTTCTTGTTAATGTACTTACAATGGCAATGTATATAAAACTTCTGCTCAAACAGAAGTTTTATATAAAAATCACTATTCCTTGTACTATGATTATTTTCTGGTATTTGAATTTGTTGATGTATGAAGCTAGGCTAAAGTCCTCACCCATTTCAAGAGACAAAAGAGAACAAAGTGATGTTTTTACATTGTAAAAACTGATCAAATATACAGGAGGAAATGCTTGAATTAAGTAGTTTTTTTTAATCTTAATTAAAGAATGTCTTTTAACACTTGGTAGATCACCTTTTGAGTCACTATATCTAAACCAAGCACCTTTTGAGAAACTATATCTACTTTAAGCTTGGAACTGAAATCTCCCTCTTTGGGGTATCTCACTTGGTTTTAGGCTCTTTTATCATCAAACTGCATCTCTTGAAAACAATTAGGGGTTCAAAAAAAACTTGAAAACAAATCATTTGTGTTATTAGTGCTCTACATCTCAGGAGAATCCAAAAATACTAAAATACAATTGCCATCTTCAAGGAGTGAACCATAAAGGGTTAAAACTAGATTTTCCAATGGAACAAGCAAACATTTCTCTATATTTAATAAGATCAAGACCACATGTTGTCCAATTTGTTTACAACACTTTACATTTACAAGACTCGGCTGAGACAAACAAAGAAACAGAAACGGTTGCTTCATTAGTAAACCAACAAAATGTACTCAAATAAAAGATACACACTTTAAAAACATTTAGTCGTGTGCTGCAGGGTATACACTTTGTTTATATATACTTGTTGCTTAAATGACACTTTCGAAAATACAGTCGTTATTTGAAAGCACATTCATATTGAGTAAAATTGCCTCTTGATACCAAGGACAGTTGAGAAGGCAAACAGAGTCTATCCCGGCCTTCACCCTATCAGGCTGGAAAAGATACGTTTTGAGGCACACTTTCTTGTATATTGTATCCTCCCTGTGTCCTCTGCGCAGATAGTGCTGTGTATCTGCTTCTCTCTGAGATAATGTATCTGAGGAGAGGGACATTTTCTGCATCTGGAATTAAACAGAAGCAATTGTTCAGACATTTACTACTACAATAGAGCGGTATACAGTATGTGCAGTGTTAATAATAATTATGTCAATAAGTCATCTGCAATTATTTACATTTTACAGACCATGGTTACACAAAAAAACTGCTTGGAGTATTTGTTACAATTGGGGTGATCTCCAAAATGCTAAATGATACTGTTGACTGAGCTGCATTATTTGTTGTTGACTGAGCTATATTTTAGAAGTGGGATGACATTGGGCAGAAAACAGCAATGCAACATTTTCAAACCTTTAATGACCAGAAGACAATATTATTTTTTCAAAAACACAAAAGTATTATGAAAAGAGCTCACACCTGATATGCTGGTAATGTGCTCAAACAACAACACTAAATAATGCACAATGATAAAATAAGGCTTTAAAACACAATAACAGAAGGAAGGAGTCTGTATCATAATGAAATTAAAGCTGGGGCACCTAACTTCACACCATCACAATGAAACCTTATTTACAAGATTCTTTCTGTTGAGACGAACAACATATAAAATCATGAATGGAAAAAAAAAAAGGTGAGCTTTAATGTGAAAGGGTAAAGCTTGTTGACTCCATACCTGAGCCCGACCTCAGCCCTGCAGTCAGCTGAGTGTATCCTTGAGGCTCAGGTGGCATGACCCGCACCAGTTTGAATGACAATGAAATGGCTGTAAAGGAGGTCAGGCGCTCGAGACTGACCTGTAATCAGCTCCGAATGACAATAACCCTTTGTGCACATGTCGGCAAAATGCTACCCTCCACTTTACAGAAGCTAATATGTTGTGCATCCTCACCGGGGGTCCCTTTAGAAACCTCTGTAAAGGCATGAGGCTAAAAGGCAACATTAAAATAACATCCTTTGAACTGACACTGTAGTTGTTTGGCAGTGATCATCTGAGGTACTAAAGCAGTGTTTAACAAGGGGACGGTGCATGTCAAAAATAACAAAGGAACCTTCACTTTGACGGATCAATAAAGACATCAGCGATTGAACAGCCATGAATGATCTCTATAACGGAGATGGCTAAGATACGAGACATTACCTCCACAAAAATACACTGATTTAGTTTCACCCATCTAACTTTTTTGCTTCATAAACTATTAATGGTGTCTGTTTCAAGAGAAAGAGTCTTGTAAAAGTAAAATGTGGTGAGCAAATCAAGGAAAAGCAATGCAAATGTATTTATAAAGCACCATTCATGCAGAATACTTAACAGGAACAGAAAGAACATAGGGAAACAATAAAACATGATATTAATAAAAACAATACAAATATATACATTAACATACACATACATCTGTAATAATAAAAAATATATATGAGCCCACAAAATCAGACCACAAGACGCATCCTATTAGAAAATAAACTTTTGCAAACTTGTTGGGAAGAGCCCTGAGAGTTACTTTTTGATGCTTTGGACTGGGAGCTGCTTGTCATCTCTTTTTTAACTTTTCTGTCTGAAAAAGCTGATCTAAAGATGTGACAGAGGTAAAAAATACATGCATGTGATTGAGCCAAACTGTTTCTTGAGCAAGGAACTAGTTCAATGCACGGATTTTAAGTGTTTGCTTTGCTTTTATTTCATTATTTCACAAGCATCGAAGAGAAAAGGCCTCCCCTCCCTAAGCCACTTTATGTCTGAAAAGATGGAAAAGAAGTGATGGAGGCAAATATTATTATTATTATATGTATGTGAGAACTAGCGATAGAACCAGACTGTTTTGTGAGCGAGGAACCAGTTACCGTATATGGATTATATTACATCGCTCAATTTTTTTGGGGTTGAAAGTTACATACCCAAGCTTTAAACAGGCAATTTAGTGGTGTGGTAAAAAAAATAAAAAGATGAATGCACTGTGATTATTTATGCCTTGTGTGACTGTTTCTATCTTGTTTTTTTCAGCACTTTGAGTTGCCTTGAGTATGAATTGTGCTATACAGATAAACTTGCCTTTCCTTGCCTAATAATTACATTGCAAGTGTAAACCAGCCCAACAGCGCACATTTTGACAGTGAACTAAAGAGATTTGCTCAGAAACCTGTCAAAATGCCTCCACATACAGTATCCCTGTCGCTTCATAGGATGTATTGATGTGAACACAGCTTTTTGCCCCATTGAAAACTTTTTTTAGATTTAGTCCCAGCATCATCTGCAGGCAAATGTAAATAGAAGGCCTATAAAAATGCTGTGTAACAAGATTTTCTATCGTTTAAACCTCAGAAAATATTGGCTTTAGGTATTAAGATGTGGCCTCTTGCACGGTTGTGTCAAAGGTATCTACCAGCACTCACAGCTGTTGCATCAAACGTCCCATCCGCGGCTCCCAGTGATGATGTCAGAGTGGCACCTCCAGCTCCAGACAAAGACATCATTCACAAACCGGCTCTACACAACGTCACGGAACACGGAGTCCTCCCCCTCCGACCTTTTCCCATTCTCCCCTGAAAACGAGACTTCTTTGTCATACAGTATGAGTTGTATTAAACTAAAAATAGAACTAAAGGTGCTTTCCCACATTCCTGCTATACGCCTCTCTTCGTTCACCTCCTGGTTCTGCGAGGTGAACAACATTTTGTGTGTGTGTGTGTGTGTGTGTGTGTGTGAGTGTGTGTGTCATTAAACTGATATTCTGAGTGAGGGTTACTCTATTTAAACATAACTTTTATCTCAAGGTCACAGAGCATCTTAAGTTTGAGTTCAATTACCAAATCAAATGGATGTGACCACCGCAGGAAGCCGGTACCACCACCTCTTTCCAAGTAGCTCCCAAAAAGATTTAGAAACAATTGTATAGTTAAAATGTTATGATTCAAATGCTTTCAAATATAGATCCAAATCCATACCAACTTTGTGTACCAGTAAATTATAACACATTGTTGTTGAAGGCAGTACACATAAGGCTAGCTATTACAGAAAACAAGTTTTAGTTTTTTTATGCCAGAGAATTGATAACTTTTCTGAAAAAAATTGACTTCTTCCACTTTTTGACCCATGTTCCACCGTACGGCATTTAACTACATTTAATTCACTCTGCATTTCATTAATTGCAAGCTCTAAAAATACCTTGAAAGCATACATTAGAGCAAGAAGAGTCATCTTCGCACTATAACCTGGAGGCTTCCACATTACGTTGGCACACATATGAACCAATGTGGGAATGAAGCATAGAAGAGAAACCACAACAATGGCAGAAATACTGATGGATTGACTTAAAGAATCCAGAATAATAAAGGAGAGATTTCTAAAGCACAGAGCAAGACGTACCCATGAACAGGAGCGGATGTTCAACTTATTCCACCTATTTCACCTCTGAATGTGATCTGGAATCTGGAAGTCTCTTGGTGGCTTATATAGTCTGGGAAAGAACATTATGCAAAGAAGCTCTATGTAACGGTATACAACGTAAATGTATGTATATGCTTGCATCCATGGCTGCTTCCGGAAAAGCAAAAATAACATTTTCCACAATAGGTTTCTGACCACTATGCATTATGGTTACAATGCTCTAGGATCAAAAATAATAATAATCATACAAATTGTAGTAGAATTAAGAAATCACTAAAGATTTCCTTAAACCCTGATACATCCAGCCCTTATGAATGTGTTAGCGATATTGCTTTGCTGTATTGTTCAATCATTTCGTTTATTCTCCTCATTTCACACACAACACACATCTCTGAGATTCTGCAGGTTCCAAAAAAGGCCGTGCGGTCAACAATGGCTGAAAACTCTGATTTCACTGTCCTCCCACCTCGACCCAGTGCTTTCAGCGGCTCTCGTCTGTCGCTGTGGCCAATGAAAAGCCCCTTTCTTCCTCCTCAGTCACTGCGATACAAATGCCCAGATAATGAAAGAGTGATGATAGCCAATCACCTTCCAGAGCATCGCACCTGCACCTAAGCCACTGCCCCCTAAAGCCATGTCCGAGCCTCAGCAAAATATCCCTTACAAATGTACTTCCTCTCAGCGTTTTGTGCCTGATATCACTTGTTGCGTGTCTTGTGTGGCCGAGTATAGTTCCAGCCCTCTTAGGTGTTTCCACTGGGGATTTCAGCATTAGAGCGTGGCCACAGGATTAATAGCTTTTCCAAAAGGCCAGGGGTGACACGAACAATGGCATACTTCAAGAGCTTTAAAATAGTGTCTGATTACAATTAGACAAGGCGAGGCAACCCTGGACAAATCCCATTTTCTGGAGAAATCTATATCACAAAAAAATATGAATGTCTGGCAAGGATTTGTTTTAAAGGAACCAATGACATTTTTGGCCATGGTAAAGTTGCTCATTATTTACACGCTTAAAGCTGTTTTTAGCGATTCATAAATGTTTGTTATATTCTCTTACGTGCACGATTCCATTGTTCCTCCTCACCTGACAGCAGCCACCAAGACTGTTACAACTTTGTTCACAGATATTCTGTCCTGCGACTTGCCGGTCTTTAAAAAAATATTTCTTAATATTTGCTGTCTTGCATTAGATGAACACAATCATCTTTAAAAACGACCACAATACAAAGCCATGGCTGTGACTATAAAATGTTGGATATTCACACTGGTGCATCTAACTTTTGTATTTATACTGTTTATAACCACACTGCATTTGGTAGTTACTTTCTGTCCCTTTTAAATAAACTTTAAATACCTACAATTCAATGGCATGATTTTGAAACTAACCGTAATAGATTAACAAATGTCATGAAAAAAAAAAATACATAAAAAAACATATGTTTGTGAATTCTCACATTTAGAACTTAAATTATCCAGATATCCGTCTGGTGTGAGCCAATGATTATGACTGAAAGTACATTTGCGTGTTTTCTACTGCAAGTCGCTTCCATGTGTCTTATATATCAGTCAAGTCAATCATCTATTCATCTATTAGGGTATTGAAATAAAGATACAAAATAAACACAGATAAATGTAAATGTGCACTTTATTTATCCCCATAGGGAACTTTGTGCTCTGCATTTGACCCATACTGGATGCCACTTGGATCGCCGTAGAACAACGCCCGGAAATCCATCACCAGATGTTAATACTCGGCTTGATCTTCCTGACCAAGCCGGAGCACCCAGAAGAAAACTAAACCTAGACCACTCAGAAAGGCCCCCTTCAAAATCAGGACCTTCATGCTGAGAAGCGGGAGTGCTAACCACTCAGCCACCGTGCCGCCCATAAATAGCTAAGACTCAACAAGACATTTTTAAAGAGCAAAAGAGGAAGGGCCACCGAGCGCGGTGGTCAACCTTTTGTGCTGAAGAAGCTTTTATGACATAAAGGCTGATTTTTTACTCAGAAATTTGGGTAGACCTGCTCCCAAAGTTATTGATAAAAGTGTTCCCACTTAGTATATTTTGTTATTATTCTTGGGGATTGTGCTTTGTGACAGCAGAAGGACTTTGAGGCAATGGTTCTAGTTCACCAGGGGAAATATCACAGAACCCTTTTTCTCTCCAAAGATTTTTTTGACCATTAATGTAAACACAAGAGTTCATTTTTCAACAACATAAAATAACTGTAAACGGAGAAATCTGTGACACATTTTCTATCGACTCCTGCCTTGTCTTCTATTTCATCTCTTTAGTTCCTTCCTCGCTCGGGCCTGTCTAACGATCACACCACAGCCCACAAGTGTAGACAGGGCGCGCAGCTCCAAGTGAAACCTGTGCCAACCATAACATAAACCTGAGCGCGTGCATCTCCTCTCGCTCTTCTCACCTCTCCTGGTCGCTCTGACTCAGGGAGCACTGGTGTTCAGCACGGCCTTGGCGCAGTGGGGAAGATCCATCTAATTGGCTCAGCTCAGCGGTGGTGGCCCCAGGTCTCCAGGAGCTGGCCTCTCTGGATCTAGTGTTACACATGAAGGAAATTGTCCTTCACCGTTTCCTGAGATTCAATATTTGCACAAGTTTCTCAAGAGCAAAGAGTTAAGAGTCTTTAGATTAGTCCCCTTTAGTTTTGGTGTCCCACTATAGTTACGATTGTGGCGTTAATAAAGACAATAGTGATTGGAGTTGCAAATAATACTAACATCATTTTAATGTCTTTTAGATGTGCTTCATGCATTCCTGGTGCATATAAAAGCTTCCCAACAGAGAGTCTGATCAGAGTAAATGGCTCACAACATGTCTTCCTCTCATTATAAGACAAACATTATTGATCTCACAATGAAGATATTTATATGTCACATTTGGCATAAATAGGATCACTCAGGGTGTGCAAAAAAAAAAATGTCCAGTCATAATGCCACATTAAATTATCTTTTGTATACTTGTAAGGAAGAGCCCTGGGACTCACTATTTGCTGCGTTGAGCTGAAAGCTGATTGGCTCTGAGATTGGTCCTCTCTTTTTCCCTTTTCTGTCTGAGCAAGTCGATATTAAGACGTGACTGATATATGCATGTGACAACTAGTGATAGAACCAAACTGTTTTGAGAGAGAGGAACTAATAACATGTATTTTCTTCCATAGATTCATCTTCAACTTCATATATTTATCTACGTTTCCTTGTTCGTAGTACTAGGGTGAGATGGAGGGGAGCTCAAGGCAAGAAGCAACTAACCCTTATTTGCAGTCCTATATTCATAAGACACCACTATATAAAATACATTCTTACAGGGAAAAATAAAACATCTTTACAGACATTAAAATAGTTTTGAAAAGATATTAGTTTAAGATGAATATCCTCTTTGTTTTAACTAACCTGACAAAGCACTAAATTGTGTTTCATTGTCATTGAGTATATTCCCATTGGTTGCAGCTTAAAGGCACCTCTCACCTCGACCTCCTCTTCCCACATTATCTTTCATTATTCTATGTTTGTGTTTTTGCTGGTCATTAGCCGACATATTTAACTGTAAATCGTAGCCCCCTGAGGGAATCGCCCTGCATAGTGTGGCGCTCTCTCCCTCCTCAGACTTGTGATCTTTATGCTGCAGAGAAACATTCAGAGGTGTTCCTTTACCTTCCTGTTCCCAGCTCCACTTCAGCAGCACTTAACTTTTCACTGTGGAAACGCAGAGAAGGATAGAAAGAGACACATGCTGCTGGGAATTTACAGTGGTGGAGTACCTATACAACTTAAGGCACGTTCACACTAACTGGACCGAGTTTGGTTCACTTTAACTGGACCAAGTTTGGTTTGAGGGAAAATTCTTCACAGATTTGCTACAAAATATGTAACCTGACTCATGAACACACGTTTGGAGGTTTTATACATCCACAAATAAGGCCTTTTCCCCTCAAGTGGACCAGGGGTTGAAAATTAGCATTAGCATCTATCATGCTATAACTATGTATAACTACGATGTCCCTGTCAAATAAATGAAGAAAACGAATAAATTGGTCCTGTGAAAGTGAACCAGACCAAGCTAGATTTTGATGATTGATCTCTTTGCATCTTGTACTCATCACATCAACATTTTCCTATTCTAAAAGACAAAAGTTGGTATTTTTTGCACTTGTGCTTTTCATTAAGAAGGTTCGGGGATCGACTCTGGGTTTCCTACAGTTTCTCCGGTTTCCCCTACTACTAAAAACACAGCAATACGTCTGACGTGTGCCTCCTGTATACACGTGAGAGGCTTTGTGACTCACACAAATTTGATACAAGATTTGATTTGATCCTTTAATCCAAGAAAAGCTCATACGTATGTCATAATGTTCTGCTATTAGTACAAATCTATGATGCAGTTGTCATTGGCTTGGAATAAATACATAAATAGTATAACAATAAGATAATAACTAGCTGTAAATTGATGATGCATTTCCACTACCTAGATGACTCTTTTACCAATGTTGACCATATTCTACTCTCAGGCTCTCCCCTTCACACCCCATATGGACCCCCTCTCTCCTCCTGGCCTCCCATCTGCAGTGCTTCCATATAGACACCCATTGTTTCCGCTCAGCCTCAGCGACCGTCCCGTGGTCCTCCGCACTTCCAGCCGAGGGGAGCTGATGCTATACGTAACTCTAGATTGGTAATTACAGTGCGTGCATGGCGGTGCGATCTAATGGCGGCAGCTTTCTGATAACCTGTTCTTGTGAGTCATACGATGTCACCCAGACACAGAGGGTGAGCGGAGGAACAAAACCCCATCTTTGTGTGGTGCATCCTTCTGCATTCCTTCAAGACTCGACGCAACAGTCTCTATCTTTCGCCGCTTTGAGTCAACCACACCTGAGTCACAATCAAACGCTCCAATTTGAAGTAAACAATAGACACACTGATTTTAGAAGACTGGACCACTGTTCAGGTGCAGACAAGCATTCAAGCCCTACAATTAGAAAGTGAGTTCTAGGTTTAACAGTATTGTTGTATTGTTTGTTACATTGCAATTAAGGTGTGGCTGGCAATTCTAGGCAATTCTGTTGAAACACTGTTGGTGTTCTCTATACACAATGTACAGGCTTTTGCAGTGCCACTTTTAATGCATTTGATTATGGATAAAGTGAGGTTTTTACACACCCTCTCGATGACCCTGACCGTCAGAGGGAGAAATGCAATACAGACACCATTACAACGTGACCTCCTCCTGAATACTAATGACAAAAAGCGCGTTCCCTATAACCCACCCTCATGTCCCTCTGAAATAAGTTGTAAAAGAATTTGCTTGTGCATTGGAATTATTTATTTATTTATTTATTTGTTCTTATATAACATTACAGTCACATAAAGAACAGGAGTAGGATATCCATACTTTTGGCAATTCTGGTTCCTATGCAGAAATAATAATGAATGTTTCCCTAAATCACAATAGAAAAACCGTTGCATTTGCCGACACAGATTAGAGAATCAAAACACAGTTCAAACACAAGAAATGCAATGATAAAAGTATTTGTGGATGTTAAACTAACAAACAACATGTGACCTGACTTTTGAAAACAGAACTATCAAGTATTTTTCCCAAGTGAACCAGACCTTGTCCCGTTAGAGTGAACCAGTGCAAACGTTTTAAATAGTTAGATATAAAACATCACTAAAGTTCTAATTCAGAACTTGCAGTAGTTTCAGCTGTATGTGAGAACAGCTTACACACATAATTGTGCTTTCTCCACTTAATGCAAGGTTAAAAAGTACCTCAAACGTGGCTGTATTATTGTTTTTACCTACTTTACCATAACTGGAACCACTTTACTGAATAAAGAGGACCTCTGAGTCAAGTGCAATAAAGACAAGAGCTAACATCCTTATTTTTTTACATTCAGAATAATCATAATCAGCTGCCGTTAAACGCTTGGCTTACAGTAGAGCAGACTGATCGGTGAGCATGCCTCTCGCTGCAGCTCATGCCAGAGGAAGGAAGGCCGCTTCACCTCGAGCCAGTGCAGCATGATGTACTGTCCTTCACTGCTGCGCCTCCGCCCTCGTGCTGCCGGGAAAGAACATCCCACCCATATCGGCTAATATTCAGCCGGTGAGCCAAAAGGCCGTGGCATAAACGTTTATCAAGAAGCTTCACTAGTAACGTTTTTCCAACACTCATCGAGGCTCCACACTTGTCTCCGCAATTACTGTCTGCGCGCGGCAAACTGCGTGGGATTACACATGAAGGACTGGAGAACTGTGAAAATAGCACCAGATGTGAAAGTGCAGAGTCTGGCGAAGAGGGGAGAGAGGCCACGCAAAGGCGATTGGTAATTTGTTGAAAGTAAGAATGAGTGCTATGCTTTTCAACATATTTGAGTTTATTGAAGTGACGGGGATATTTAGTAAGCATCTTGTACATGTATATTCAGTTTTAGCTCATTGACCACTCGGATAAACAATCTGTGCAAAGTTGCCAATGTTGGACAATAATGTTTACTCGAAAGCATTGTATTTATAAGCCATTCATATAGTTATACAAATGATTTCATTCATTTCAGCTGTTTTCAAGCGATCACGATTCGATTTGGAAAGTTTGCAGTTGTGCAATATTTCACGGCTCATTTGTTGGCGACGGGGTCAATTGAGACTTCAAGATTTTGAGATTTTTTTACCTGTTCGGTGAGGTAGAACATAATCCAGTTCATCAGAGATTGTTTTAAGGTGAAATCACATCTGCTCCCAGTGTCAAACCTGGAAGCATACAGCTATTTTAAATGTTGTCCATAAATAGACAAATGATTAGACTCTGCACACTCACAAAGTAGGCAACCTTTTAAAATTTCAACTTCAAAAACTTAAACTTAAACTTAAAAAAAAGAGTAGGATCTATATGCCTTCATCTGTCCGTTAATCTTTTCGACTGTCCTACTTTAGATTTTTCTATTCACACAGCCTTTGCCTGTGTGTTCCGTAACTATTTTTATCAGGGAACCCTTTGTGCAACTCTGTGCCTACGGAGCGGAGAGCGGTGTGCCTGTGCCCTGCCCAAAGACAAAAATGGATTTACGATAACTATTCTATTTTTTTCCATCAGAACTTTATTAAAAAAAAAAAAAGGCTAATCTAATTAGAACATACATCTACAGTAGGAGTCACAACAGTATAAGAGATCCTTGGCCAAGAGCTGATTGGCTATGCTTGAGTGGATGCCCCAACTTAACTTGCCTGCTTGAAAAACTTCGCTCAAAGTCGTTCTAGTGTCCGTAGGTGCCTGCAAAATAGCAATGTATGGGATTCTGAGAGGAACAATTTGGATAGATTTAAATACCTACTTCCTCTGGAGACGGTTTGAGAATCAGATAATCACGCAACTTTTAATAGCTCCATCTTCTGTGCTACTGCTACTCTTCAAGTTTAATTCAGACCCAAAGGCCTTTGGCGTTTGGCAATAGCACGACATCCAGATGTTGCCTGGCCAGTCCGCTGCACACTTGTCAAGCGAAGGCCAGTGACGTTTCAGTAGCAATAATACACTTTATACTTGTGCTAGTGAACGCGAGGAGGAAAAGATCTGCCAACAGACACGCGCGAGCCAGGAAGTAATCATTTCCTTGCTGCTTGCTAGATGGACAATGTTCCCTCTGCACAAATGTTTCGAATTTAAATGCAACTCAAAGATACAAATCCGCAAACTCTGTGGTAACTTATCTTGTAAATACTTATTAATCAAATTGCAGAATCTGAACCCTGCACATGTTTTCAGTTTGGTTCATGAAAAACGACCTGTCACTAAGAAACTGTTGATTAATTCATAGATATTAATGGCAATGACGTAAATGATTGAAAGACATTTTTTGGGTAAGAAGAATTAGTGAATTAAAAATGAGGCACCTGAATTTTTATATATAGTCCATGTTATTTGTACCACCAGAAAGAGTCTCGTAAAATATGAACAAATCAGACCACAACAAGCTGTCATCCTCTAACCCTATAAGCCACTGATGGACACTATGGGCTGAGATCTGATTGGCCGAGTGAGGGTAGTAGCTCTCTTTGTTGACTTTTCTGTCTGAAAAAGCTGATGTAAAGATGTGACAGGGGCCAAAAATGCATTTATGTTGTAGAACCAAACCATTTTGAGAGCGAATAGCTAGTTAGATGCATGGATTTTAATACATTTTTAGGTCAAAGTGTTTGCTTTGCTTTTATTTCACTCAACAAGCATCGACCCCCATTGCGCTAATCCTCCATCAAATACCTACTTTCGTCGTAAAAGTTACTACTATAATGCAAGCTGAGACCAGAGATAAAGTCAATATTGATTGGTTGTGGAAATGCATAGTGTAAGAATGGCTCCAGTGGTGGTTTTATGGCCCCTAGTTTTACAAGGCCGAGCTGGTGAAGGTGAGGCCTATAGTCAGTGAACTTTATCAGCCACTGGAGGATTCGACGGCTGCCGTGGAGCTACTTTAAAACTTAATGCAAAACGTGTCATTCTTCAGCTGGGGCCACGACTCAAGTTTCACCGTGGGCCTCCGTACAGATGCAGGCACGCCGGTGATGCCTTCCTCCTGCTGTAAGGAGCGAGGGCGGTGGATAGTGTCCATGTGTGAAAACCTAAATAAACCTACAGAGCGATTCTGCGGGGGAAATACAAACACCTGTCAACTAAGTGCTAAACGCAGACAATCTATTAGATGCAAAGGGAGATTTTATGAATTGTGGAAATGTTGAGGAATTGTGTGGCTTTAGATGTGCGAGTAAACACCACTTGAGACTGCGTGCATCTGACATTGTAAGAAAGACTTGAACGCAGAGTGGAAAGTCAACTTTAAAGTCTACGAGGCGCCCCAATCTCACTTAGAACCAGCATTCTACTTTTCCAAGCCGTAAATCTGTTTGTTTGCAAAGTACACATCCGAAAATGGAAAGGGGGCCCATGATAGCAAGTGCGACTACATAGGTCTTAAAAGTTTGTCTCCAAACACTCGGTTTTCCTTGACACAAAAGGATTTAAGCAAACTAGTATGTGCTTGCCAGTCTGCGGAAAGTAATGCTGCTTAAAAATACACTGTGGTTAAATTTCCCATGCACATGCACCAGCAAATTTGGTTTACCACTACTGTATGTTATGGCACGTGTTGTTGGACCAATTGCATAAATTACACACAATTGAAGACCATGACTTTACATCGTGGAGTGAGCGGAGATACCTGTGTAAGTGGTTGATCCAGCTGTGAACCTGCAGAAGCTTAGAGCCTAGTTAAAGGTCAAATGTTAATATGGGACTGGAGGCGATACAAGCCACTGTCTTAAATATAGTCCTTTGTGTGAAGTCCCAACTGTCATACTGCTCAAGAGATGCTGGGGACATTGGTCCAATTTTCTTGAAAATTATTGGGAGCCTTTTCAATACTGGGTCTACAGCCTGTCCTTCTGTGAGAGCAAACTTCTGGGTTCATGAGTCCTTCCTTGATGCTGCAGCAGGGTCTAAGGACAGTGATAATCCGGACATTTAAGGACATTCATTAACATTAATGGACATTGCATGTTTCTATGGCTCCAATGTGTTTCTTATAATTACATTTTCTGTGTTCTCATCGGCGAATCAACAATTTTGAAAAGTTCCCTTTAGCTGTTAAGAATGATGGCGATAAAAAATTAACTTGAATCTGCTCATTTGCAGGTCTAGGTTACTTGTATGCAATTATGTATGTAATTAACTTGGCAGGACATTAAAATCCTAAATATATTGCACTTTCAAAAACATGACAAAACAATAACAAAAATTACACCAATAAAATATAAATGAAGAAACTATAAAGAACAATGGTTCAATAAAAGCAGTCTCATTGTGACAGCAATAGATCTATAAAGGTGTTGATTCAATGTATAGAACAAATTACAATTTTGATTTGAGAAGATTTGACTTAAATGTGAACTGAAATGTGAAAACTTCAGAGGTCAAATCAAGTTTTCAGTATATTTACAAGCATAACAATGACATCTCTATGGCAACCAGTGTGTAATGGATCCCATCATTGTTGTCTTTAATGAAAAAACTAATCTAAAACATTGTAGCATTTATATAAAACGACGAGCTTGTGGACACTAAAGCATGAAGGAAAGGTGAGCCGACTCGACAGTATTGAAATGTACCAGCGGTCTTGTTCTACAAAATGTGCGGCTGGTCTAGACCACCGCACTCATGTGAGCAGCTGCTGTGATCCTGGTTCTGTCTGAGAGGTTGAACGGATCAGTGCAAAGCAAGCACGGAGATGCGACATGTTCAGGGCCGAAGCAGCGGCTGCACTCAGAGGAGACAAATTGCATTTTTGCTTGGCCCTGACATTTCAGGCGGCCTGCGTCTTGCCAAGGAGCCTTCAGAGACATGGAGGAAAGCAGTGGAGAGAGCCTGCCTCGTCTCACAGCCCGGTCCTGCGCAGGTCGCTCTCAGGCCAAAGCTCCTAATTGTGTCTTTGGACCGAGCGGTGAGAGGGAAATGTAAGTGTGATGTGAACGAGGCCACACGCAGTTTCATGGACTCATTAATACAGCAGGACTTCAGTGAGCAGCCATCACCGCTGGAATTCAACATGACTTTCAGAATTTGGTTTTAGAAAGAACTTTATAAAGCCATATTTTCACGCCCTTGGATTACAGTATGACTCATAGCAATTCACACAGGCCCTCGAAAAAAACTTCTGACAAGGAAAATTATTGCAAACAAAATCTCACCAAGACTGAAAGCTCACTGAGACCAAAAATTCTTAACCAATGCATCAACCAGAAAACAGTTCCTCGAGGTTACTGTAGTGAGAACCTCTAATAATGAGCCAAAAGTACTCTCCAGCAGAGTCTCGCCCCTCTCAGTGATGTCACCAGTGTCTCTCACACCTATATGAAAGCATTCAGCGCTGGCACAGGCTGACCGCAGTCTGGCCAGCTTCCTGTCTGACCGTCCTCGACAAACAAGGAGACAGACGAGAGATCCACCTGTTAAGAGCCAGGTCACAGGGCGAAGGCTGGGCTCAAAGAAAAAGTAGAGCGGGCCATTTTTAATATGCAATATTCTATTTTTATTTGAAAAAAAGTTTATATGTTTATACCTTGTTGTGACCCAGTGGCTAATATTGGTCTATGGTGCTTTTGCTTGATCACTGTGGTGTCTCCTGTGCTCCAGGATCAGGATTTTCTGGTGCGGGGGTCCAAAAACCCTCCAAACCTTGATCCTATAGCATCTTAGAGACCACTGTGATGAAAGTAAAGGCTCAATGCTGACCACTCTTACAGCCACTAGTCACTGCAAGGTAAAATATGCCAAAATACTGAGTTTATTTAAACATGAAAAGTTGCATAAAACCCCTTTAAAAACATTTTTTTTAAACGAGAGAACACTTGAAACTTAATTTCGATGCTGGGGACATAATGGTGCAACACAATTGTTTTGTGTCCTTAGGCAAGACACCTCCATATTAGAGTCTGGTGTGCGAGGGAATGGTTATATTACCATTATTAATATTATGATATACTTCAACCGTGCACTGCAGCATTACATTTTTTTGGGGGGTATTTTATCCTAAAATAACTAAATTTTAGGATAAAATAAGTTGAGAGGAAGTAAATACATTTTTGGTCGGGTCTGTTGATGCTAGATCCATCATTAGGGAAATCCGACCACCTACGTCAAGCCTATCTTATGCACGTGCATGCAGCCAGCCGACCGTCATGTTTATGCAGCAGTAATTGGAGGACAGGTGGGATGGAGGCCTGGTGTTTTACTTAACCTCTCGTGTGGAAACGCAGAACCTCGCTAACTAGGCCTTGCTTAACCTCCTGACTTTAGCCCCCAATCAACATGTGGATATTAGGCCCAATGTAACCTCTGCCTTTGTGTATGCCAGACCTGGTTTGTGGTAAGAAGCTGTCAAAATATCCCACTCTTGTATATGTTAAGCAACGGCAACAAGACCTCTACAGTAATTTCCAGAAATCTGTCCAAATTGCTTAAGTCTTAAATTATGTATAATTGAGGCCTGCGTTGGGTTACTGGGGGGAAGCTGCTATCATGCGGTGGGCCGTAGTCACTTCCATCTGGTTAATGATGGTCAAACGAGTCACCAACATCGTTACCAGGTCACCGCGGATAGAGCCTCCAATGGATTATTTTACTTAATGGCATCAGCACTTGTGTGTGCCAAGCCATGCATAATGAGTATGATGGATTTGACTCACAGTACAATGGCTAAGTGTTGGGGTAATATATACACTCTAATTTTGCAATTTTACTACAATTATAAATAAGTACAATTGTTTTGCATTTTCACAATTTTGAGAAGATTATTTAAGAGTCAGCTATAGTTGAGTTTTTTTTAAAACATATAATCATTCATATTCAAATCAGCTCTAAACAAAGCTTTCATATGTGCAAGTGTGAGGCATATTATCAGAGGTGGAAAAAGTACTAAGTACATTTGTAGGGTGCTTTAAAGTTCCAGGTGAACCAGAATTAACTTTAATTGGATCAATTCTGGTTTGTAAATTGTGGAGTTGTGAATCCACCAAACCAGTGAACACTGGTCCAGTAGCTACTTAACTTCTTTTTAAACAGATATAATTAGGACTATTGTTCTGAAGTTAACTGACTCCACCGCATTTAGATACATTAGTAAAAGTATAAAAGTCAATTCAACTTGCAAAAGGTAAAGTGTTGAAATAATTCTTCGTCTTTGTTATATACTTGGTAAAAAACGCTTTAACCATTCTTATATGTTAAGTGTTATGTTATATGTTTCCAACTGGCAAGAATATGACAATAAAATATGAGGATAAACAAAAAAGTGATATAATGCAGTATTATCTGAACTTAGAAGCATGGCTAATTCCAAAGTATTAATTCACTCAGAAGTGTGGTACTTTAAACCCGTACTAGTCCATGTGAACATTGGACAATCTTTCTCACGCAGGTTTGAAATTCACACTTGGTTTTATGTTGCATTGTCATCGGGAAAAGAAAAGCACAGATAATTGGGCTTAAAAGTAAAAAGTTGTCATAAAAATAAGTATTAAGTACAGTCTGTAAGTAAAAATGCTTAGTTACTTGCCACCTCTGCATATAATCTTTTACCTGTCCAGGTTGAAACTTGAACTCTCTCAGTAGCAATGATAACAGGCTTCTTTGGCGGGGTCACTCTGCATTAGGGGTCAGGCCCAAACAGACTCTTTCTTTGTGCTTCACCAATGAAGTTTAGAAGTTGGCCCAATCAGGGGGGGCGAAAGCGTACACCCGCTACCAAATCAGCTCCAGCCATGCCAGTCAGATCGATCTCAAACATATTAACTTTGCTTTCAATAGAAACCAGCTCCAGAGGTGTTGAGAGTGTGGTGTACAGAAGGAAAGGAGAGGGTAGCCCAAAACTCAGCGGCTTTAGATGTTCATGCTGTATTCACTTAAATATGTTCAACTTAATCACATTTGTTTTGCATGTTCATGTGAATTATCTTTGACCATCTTCATAACTGAGAAGACATCAATTACAGATAATAGAAGAGTGGAAGCCATGAATCTGTATTTGATCAAAAATATGAATACATTTACAGTATGTTC